AAAATGCGGACGACCAAGTTGTGATTGGGTTCAGTTTTACCTCTGATTCGTTGAAAAAGTGGTGCAAGTTTTGTGGACCAATCACAGAACGAAGTAAAGAAAAACCAATGTAATCCCGGATTTATTTGCGACACTTAATTGAGACTGAACTGAGTGCTCTATTACACAAAGTAGAGTTTCATGAGTCACCTAATTCTGTTAAGAAAACGTTCAGCTATATTTTGATCATGACATATGGATACAGAGGTCAAAGGTCCCTTATAACCTTACGTCTAAAAGATTATGACATCTTTTTAGTTATGTCTATAGGATTTATTGAAGAGTTTCATCAACACTTTAGGGGCCTTCGATGCCTGCAAATATTTAGAAACGAACTGCCAAGCAGGAGAAAGATGTGTATCAAGAAGACTTTCTGGTTACGTTTGGCCTGGGCAATACAAATGTGTTTGCAAAGATAAAGGTTTTCTAGAGATTCGCGGTCAAGGATGTTTTGGTAAGACCTCGCTGCTTTGTTCCGTTCTTTAGACATTCCTTCGAGTAAACAAAAAAATAAAATCACGACCCGAAAAAAATGGGTTATACGATATAATTGCAGTGTTTAGAGCTGACAAGGTGATGTAAGAGATTAAGAAAAACCTTAAAGGTAACAACGAGGAGAATGTGACAAGACAAAGGGTGAGATGAAAACGGATTTCGCGCAGCAGACTTCAATAACTTAGGCAAATTTTTCAAGATGCAAACAAACAAAATCACTTTCCCTAACCAAAATGGAACAGAATGTTGATCCTAAGCACGTTCCATAGAAAAGAATGCAGTAGGCACCGTATGAAGCTTAAAAACCTCTTTTGTGTGAGCCTTGTAATGTGCTGATTACTTGATTAGTTTTACAGCTTTTCAGTTTCTACTTTCAGATGTGGACGAGTGTCAAAAATCTCCTTGTGGAGCGTTATCCGTTTGTGTGAACACTTTTGGAAGTTACAAATGCAATTGCAAGAGTGGTTACGAAGGGAAGGATTGTAAAACTGGTAAGAAGGCTGACGTACAAATGGTAGTTGACTGATTCTCCATTTTATAAATAAACTGTTTGTATTAATAAATTCTAAGACTAAGCTGTTGTGTTATTGCTTCCCTGAGAAGAACATGTGATTCGCTCTATAATACACTCGAAGCAAGAAAAAAATCTGTTTCACGAAAGCTCCAGATTTACAGATGGTTACCAAAAATTATTCGCCCTCTGAAATTTTTAGGATCGATAAAGAAAGTTAAGTGGTGTACTACAACTCACATTTCTTTCACCCCAAAGAGGTAAATTTAAACCAGCATCTAGTTTCTCCCAAAAATTCATCCTTGAATCACACATTCAGGTCACGAGAATAAAGAAAATTATCACCAACTTAAGACGCCCTTGAACATTAGACAAATTCTCCCGGCAAGAACCTTAGGAAATGTATAGAGAACAGCACGGAGAATATGCATACTGATGATGGTGTAAAGGGCCGGTAACTGTAAGAATTGATCAAGTTGATCAAGCTTAAAAAAAAAACAACAATAACACACAGCCAAACTGATAAACCTAATTTCATTTCATAGCATAAAGGATAAGAGACGGGTACATAGATCTTTTGTCTCGTTTTGTTCTCAGATAAAGATGAATGTAAGCAAAATCCCTGCCCAAAGAACAGAGCTTGTGTAAACACTCCGGCCAGTTTCAAGTGTATGTGTTTGAAAGGTTAC